ACCTAGTACCACTGGCTCTCGCCTTGTTTCTCAACCTGTATTTGTGTCTGGACCCGGCATGTGGGGCCCTCACACCCGCACCCCCATCTTCTGAGCCCAGGCAAAGAAGATGCCCTCGACGTCATCTACACCCGTGCAGAGGTGGGCACTTCAGGCCCTCAGGCTTTGGCTCTTCTCACTCAGGCTTTCTGAGCTTTGCCTGGAGACAAGCTGGCAGGCCCTACTACTGAACTGAGGCAAACTGACGGGCCACTAGAACCACATAAGTGCCTGGCATGCAGCAGGTGCCGCTTGGACCCTCCTGAACTTGACCTTCCTGGGCTGGAGAGAATGGCTGGTACAGAAAACAGCCTTCATGGAGGCTTCTAGGGAAAAAAGAAGAGCTAGGATCGATCCCTTCTAAACCTCAGAGGCCTCCGCATATTCTTTGCTTCTAGGGGAGCCACAAACCACACCGACCCAGCAGGGACTGTTGCTTTATTAGGTGCCACTTCAGATAATAAGGAAATTGAGGACACCTGGCATGTGGGGCCCTCACACCTGCACCCCCATCTTCTGAGCCCAGGCAAAGAAGATGCCCTTGACGTCATCCACACCCGTGCGAAGGTGGGCAGGCATGATGTAGGTGCGAAGGTCTCGGACCTCATAACCGCCAAGGACCAGGGCCTCCCTCACCTCCTCCTCTGACACTGGTACCACAGAGAGCCTGGCCTCCCCAGCAAGGTACCACGACTCCTCCAGGGCCCCAATGAGGAGGAGGTGACCCCCAGGCCTCAGCAGTGTGGTGATGTGATGCAAAGCCCGCTGGAAGCTGGCGAGATCTGGGCTCACAGCCTCCAGGCAGAAGGCGGAGACCAGGGCATCGGCAGGCAGGGGTGCCAGGCTTGAAGTCCCCAGGGGCTGGGGCTGGTGCACATCAATGGGCAGGACTCGCTTCACCCTCGCTCTCAGCTGGCGCTCCTTCTCCTGCCAAGACTCGCTGTGCAGAGGGCACAAGGCAGGGCTCGAGACTACCCCCGGCTCTGTCCTCTCTGCCCTCCACCACCCGCCCACCACTCCACAGACGCTTGCAGCCCGACACTCACCCCTTGCCCTCGATGAGGCAAGCATGCTGGCTGTACACACTCCAGTCGAAGGCTCCCGGATCCTCCCGAAGCCAGAGGCCCAGCTCCTGCCGGTTGACCTCCAAGAAATCCGTCATGGTGATGTCCTCAAAGTGGGCACAGGCACTGAGCAGCTGGTATATGGTGGGGCCTGAACCAATGTCTATGAGGGCCTGTCCAGACACCTCCCCTGGGGAAGCCGAGAACGGGAGTTCCAGGTAGTCCCTGCCTCAGCCACCCCTCCCTCCCCTGCTCTCCCAGCTCTTCCAGGTAGTGTGAGTGCCTGGAGCAAGCGCCCACGGAAACCAGGTTCTGCTGGGGCCATCCTGGGCTACCTACATTGGAGAGAAGCTTGGCTCCTCTAACGCGGGTTCCACCACTCAAAAACTAGCTTCAGTGACGATCAAATGGGGAGATGCTAAGACTCCTAGCCTTTCCCTCTGGAGTCTCCAACCTCTGCCTCAGCCTTGATCTGTCTCTCTCCTGTACCCCACCCTGCCCGTCTCTCAATCCTAAGCACCCTCCCCTCCTAAGAAAAGGGGTCTAAGTTGTCTAGTCAGGCCTCCAGTTCCGGGGCTCAAGCAGTCCTCCAGCCTCAGCTTTCCTAGTATCTGGATCTAGAGGCCGGCACCACCACTGAGCCTTGCTGACTTGCTGACTCTTGATTGCACAAGCTATCACCTATGTTTCTGTTTCGTGGTTCCCCATCTAGTGTACATTCTTGTTTCTCTCCCTCCCTTTTATTTTTTTTCCCCATGACTTCTGCTCTCTCATGCCTCAGTTTCCCATCCTCACCCGTGGCAAAGGTTTGTGCCATGCAGCGCAGCTTCCAAGGCCCGACGCCATCAGGGCTGCTCAGGTCCCCACGAGGAGGAGCGTAGTTGTTGCGGAGGTAGGCGCGGGGCTCGAAGCGCTGGTAAGCCGAGGCGACAGCTGCCCGGCCAGGGTCCGAGTCAGAGGCCATCCCTGCAGCGTGCTTCAGATCTGTGCCACTGCTCATGCTTCTGTTGGGGCCTCCTATTCCCCATCTAGACTCACCATCCCTTTATCTACCACTGCCCACCCCACCCCCGCCACGCCGCCCTGACTCCCTCCATCTCGAGAGCGGAGGCGGTAGCTGAGAGATGAGGTGCCTGGGGCCACTACGTCTCTGTCACCACATCCATCTCTGTTAATGTCCGGAGCAACGGACGCACAGGGCAGGGAGGAGTGTATGGGGGCACCCTCTAGAACATAGCTTCTGCGGCACCCTTGCTCTGCACTTGAGCTGACAACCCTCCACCCATACACACCCTCCCCTGCTCACCCCTTCCAGTGCTACCCTGCACCCCCAAACTCAGTTCCAGATCCTCTGCCAGGCTCCCCAGCTCCTCTCCAGCCTCCCACTTCTGCCCAGCATCCCATCCCTTTTCTTCCCCAAGGTTTGGATAGCCCAGGTTCCCAGTCCCAGGGTCCCCCCAGACCCCCTCCCCTCTCTTGGGGCACCCCTTACAAACTCCCCTTCTTAATAATGCCATTCCTTCCTCCAGGCCTGGATCCCAACTCTCTCCTCCAGTGCCCCTTCCCTCCTCCAGAAAGGACACTCTGTTCTGGCCTCTGTCTTGGTGGCCTGGGGGAGCCCCTGAGCAGGTAGTTTTCTGCCCTGAGCATCCGATGGTAGCAGAGATAGAAGAGGTGAGCAAGACTAATGCTTTTAGCAAGCAGAACATCCGGGCATCCCCTGCGGGCCTCCGGGGCTGTGCATGTTGCTTATCTGGGGGCCAATAAGCACAGCCAGTTCAGGACGTTCCTACCACATCGGGACACCAGCCTCAGGTAAGAACGGAAGGAAGAGTACTGAGCGCAGAGTTGGTACTGCCATGGCCACTAGAGGGGTTCATGGCACACTTTTGGCATTCCAAGGGTGCAGGTCCCCGATGGTTCTCCCCCAGTCATCACTCCTGGCCCTACTGGGGAGTTGGCAGGGCCTGGCCTCAGGTCTTGCCTGGTGCTCCGGGTAGCTGGCACACAAGCTTCTCCTCCCATCTGCTCAAAATGGCAAACCACCCTGCCAACAGCATCCCCAGTCTTTCTGAAAGCAGAATCCTCTGAATGACGCCTGTGCCCTCCGGGGTGGGTAGGGTACCAGTCTCTGCTAAGATAGCCCTGGCCTCTTTCGATCCAGTCCTCCTCTGTGCCCCTTCCTTATTCCAAGGGGACAGTCTCCTTGTTAGGCCAGATACCCGGTTGGGACATGAATCATCGTAACAGCTGCTGGGGTCACATACAGGAACCTGACCCTGCCCTCCCACCCAGGCCAGGGAGGGCGGAACACCTGATGCCAGCCAAGGATTGATTCTGTCTGGATCTACAACCGACAGGCTTTTGGGTCATTGACCCCATCCACACCCCAAGGCACAGCCAAGAACAACCCTTGTGCCAGCCCCTTCCATATCCTTCACAGATAGCATTTAAACAACCCCCGATGCCAGCTGGCCTGCTACATGCTCTCCGGTGCCAGGGAGTGGACATGGAAGCCAGGACTGGGCAGTGACACAGGAAGGGGGACCAGACAGTTACCCTGTTTACAGCTCTTCCCCTGTACCCCACCCCTAAGCATGGAGAATACCCTCTGGCTGTGCCATATTTAGCTCAAATGCACGGCTGTTCCCAGAAGTGCATGGGAGACATTAGTGCTCATCCCCAACCACAAAGACAGAGAGAGAGAAGCCTGGAACATGGTTGAGCATTTATTGCAGTGCTAACAGAGGGTGCTGGGGGCCTGCCCTGCTTCTGCCCTCTCCACATCCCCCTCCCTCTAGTCTTCAAGTTTCCTCCCCAGAGCATTCCAGATCCCTTCCATGTCCTACTCCGTCTCTGTAACCGAACAGGTCACCGTTGCCAGGGGCCTCTCGGCCTCACCAGTATCTCGTGTCCCTTCTTCTGGGGCTGAGAGTGCTCAGCTCTCCACCTCAGCCCACCATCCTTGACGCCCTCCCTTCGGGAACTCAGGACAACTAAGCATCCTGGCCTCTGCTCCCTCCTCCCATAGCCCCCACTTCTGGGCAAACTACAAAGCAGCCCCGGCCAGCAGCTCTCCTCCGTGGTCCTAGCCAGGAAGGGCCCGGCCCAAGGCAGACACAGTGGAGCCTGAGTCACCACAGTCCATCTCAGCCTCTCTGGGCTTCCTGAGACATGGATCGAGACAGGGTTCGCCGCAGGGTCCCGGGTTTGCTGACAGGCACCACAGGGGGAAGCTGCTTGGTGATCTCAGCCACGTCCTGGCGCTCCGCGCACTGGCCGCCCAGAGCGGTCTCCAGTGCCAGCAGCTCCCGCAGCTGGATGGGGGTCTCCTCGCGTTCCTCCTTGGCAGCGCCCACCTTGGCGGGGGTGAAGATGGGCAGCGGCAGCACCCGCTGGTATGGTAGCTGGTATTCCTGCAGCCCGCGGCCGAGGATGCCCAGGCGCATCACCAGCCAGGGCGAGCGCTGCACCACTGCCTGGCACTGTCCCTGCCTGTGGTAGGTCTCGTGCCTCTGTGTATCCTCCTCATGCAGGGAGCATCTGAAAGTAGAGAAAAGGGTGATGAACTCCTGAGAGATGCTGTTCTCCCGGCTCAGGCTGAGTGGGGTCTCCCTGGATGGCCAGGTCCCTGGGGTAGGCGTTTGCACTTTGGTGTGGAGAGGGTACTCTAGGGAAGCAGAGGAAGAACTTCCAGAGGACCCATCACACTCACCCTTCTTCCGGCCGGGTGGACAGGGTCAGATCTTTCCACTCAGCCCAGAAGGCTTCCCGGCGTTCCTGGTTCTCCTCGGACACTTGGCAGCTCAGCTCTGAAGTGGCCATGATCCCTTCTCGCTTCCTCTGCTGTGCCTGGCTCCTCTGGAGCCCTTTAAATAGCCCCTTCTCCCCCTCCTCCAGGGACTATTTTCAGCCCCTCTGGCGTCAGATGCTATAAGCAGAGCCAAGACTCACTGGTGGTGGGGGGGCCCTGAGTCCAGGGCGGGGGTTGGGGTACCAAGATTCTGGCCGCTCCCAGGTCAGAGGTCAGCTTCTAAAGCAAGGAAGATGCTCCTGTGGGGCCTGGGGTCCTCGGACTGGCGCCGCCAGGTATCTGGCATTCTGTAAACGCCGTCTCAGACCAGGCACATGCCCAGCCTCGTGCCACCTTGGCACCGTCCTCTGCCCTGCCTGCTCCCCCTTGCCCAGGGAGGAAAGCAGCTTGTCTGTAAACAGAACAGGAGAAGCAGGAACGGATGCCCCCCTCACTCTGCCCATGGCTGCCATCTCCCCTTCCTGAGCTCAAGGGCACATACCTTAGTAAGGCCCCTTGACTTAAGAAGGATCATGTAACCATGTCCTCAGGCGTCTACACAAAGCCTGGCTCCTAACCCGCAACACACCAGCAGGCCAGGGGGCGCTATCGCCACCCAAGACCCCTGGGTATGAATTTCTGTGTTTTGATTGCCCAGGGCCGGTGGTTAGATTAGTCTCCTAAGGGCCACTGGTCAGGGTGAAGGAGGCAGGCGTGGAAGGTGGCACTCATCCCGAGGCCTACGTGGGGAGAAACGGGGTGAGCTAGAAACTCTAGAGGGCCCATTAAGCAGCAGCCGGGAGACCTCAAGCTGGCTGTCTTATGTAACCGGGGAGCACAGTCCCTGTCTCCTTAAGTCTCACTTTCCATGTTTTTCTGGCCACAGCGGAATGACATGGAGAATTCATGGACTTGGCAGCTCCGTGGTTTACCTGGGAGGGGACTAGCTCTCTCGCATGGAGCAGAGGAAACAGATGTCATGAGAACACTCAAGAACCCAGGGAGCAATTCACGGTACAAGCTGGTGAACAGGGAGGTGGGCTAGGGAAGAGGGGCAGGGGAGAGGGGCAGGAAGGAGGGCATTGCTGGGGGAGTAGGCAAAGGGCACCGGAAGAAGCGGCAGAGGCTGAGGACGCCTGGGGACAGCAGAGAGAGCGCCCAGCTGCTATCAGATGCAGAACAGCACATTACTGATTGCTGAGGCCTCTGCCCACTCAGTACACGATCCATTTCACAACCCTATGGCACTGGTCCCTTCTGTTCGACAAGGTAGAAAATGGAGGCTCAGGGAAGGTTTGCCCAGGGTCTTAGACCCAGCCAGAACCAAGAAAAATCCACCCGGCTCCAAGCTAATAGACTCCTTTAGAAGCCCGTACAAAGGGGGGGGGGGAGGGACAGCCGGGCCTGGAACCCAGGCTCCAAGCTGCTCCCTGGTGCGAGAGCAGTGGGACACAGCGACAAGTCTGAGCCTTGTAGACCCAGGGTCTGTGTCTGGGGTGCCACAGGTACCTCAGTAACCCCGAAGCCAGATGCCACTGTGGCTTGGCCTGCTGTGGATCTGTGGGCTTCTCCCCAGCCTCCAGCACTGGGCCTGTGACCATCTCAGTAGAAGCTTTCAAGAAAAGAGAACCTAGAAACCACTCGCCCTGGGTGCTGGGGAGGGACTGGGTGGCATTTTTTCAAGGGCTGCCAGGCTCAGCTCTGCAGTGAGGATTAGGCCAAGGCCCCACAGCAGGCAAAGCTTTTGTTTATTTGCTTTCTAAAAAGTATTTTATTTTCGTGGGAGCAAGGTTGATCTATGTAGTCCAGGCTACCTTGGAATTTGCCATGTAGACCAAGCCGCTCTCAAATTCAAGAGGTCCACCTGCCTTTGCCTCTCAAGTGCTGGGATTAAAGGCGTGCACCACCACCACCACCACCACCACAAGTATTTTTATTTTTTTAATCTCATGTTTTTAATTGGCTCAAGTTATTACAAAAGTCCCCAAGGAGGCCTTGGGAGGGGAGAAGGCTATGGAGAGGCAGAGATGGAGTGCCGTCCCCTATCACCGGCCCTTACACACCGCAATGTGTATGGAGAAGGGTCACAGACCCTTCCACTAACAGTACAAAACCATCCTAGCAGCTGGAATGGAAAGCTCCCTCACCTTCACACTGGCGGGGGGCAAGCCCAGGTCCTCTGTGACCAAGTGAGATCCCCTAGGGAAGCATGGGGAGGAGTCTCCTCCTCCAGAGGGCAGGGACTCTGTGTCAACATCTGGAGGCCAGTCCTGGCTCCTCCAGCCTGGGGCACCCCAGAGTCCACGTGCTGAACCCCACCACTGCTCAGGACCATGTTCCACGGCTTAGCGGGAGGATACAGCCAGGGAACGAGGAGGCACCTGCTGCTTGGCACACAGTCCTTCACGGGCAGCGGGAAGCCCAGACAGGCCCTCTATCCGGCTCCTGCAGCTATGGCGACAGAACCCTGGCCCGCAGGGTGGCGAGGGAACATGTTCAGGCTCGGGCCCCCAGCTCTCCGATGCGCTGCCGCAGGTGAAAGGCGAATTCAAACATGGTGGCTGCCAGGCTCTGGTGGATAAGGTACCGAGGCAGGCGGCCCTAGGCGAGGCAGGAAAAAGTCATGCCATGGCTAGCCTTCAACAGGGTCTCCCATCAGCAGCCCCCACTAGGAGGGGTATTATCCTGGGCCAGGGAGGGGGGCCCCCCTCTCCCCTTACTCGTAGAGGGAGGAACATGTTGTACTCAGGTCTTGGCACTAGCCACACAAACAGACCCAGGTGGGGGTGGGCTGGCAGCCAGCCAGCCTTGCCGGGAACTTAGGAGTCAGGAGTGAAAAAGGGCATCACGTGTCTTTCACAACTCAGGACTGGAAGGCCATCTGGACCTTGCCACCGATCCAGTAAAGAAGACTAAAAGTGGGAGTCCCCGAGAATGGCGGCAGGGAGGCGCTAAGGTCACACAGCAACCAGGACTCCCCAGGCCCTGCCTCCTGCTCCCGGCCATGACCTCACCTTGAGATCTGTGTTTAGAACCCAGATGAAGGTGCAGACTCGGGGGTTGCTGGCTGACTTGAGCACAATGAAGCCTCCAGGACCGTTCTCCCCCCTGAGGAGGAAGAGCCACAGGTGAGGGGCGCTGCCCAAAGCAAGTCCCCCGGCCACCCCTGCCTGGCCCCATTCCTGGCCCAGCCGAACTGTGGAGGAAAAGGGGGGCACAGATGACAACCTAGAAACTACCTCCCTGCCTCAGTACGGCTCCGAGCCGGTACCAGGGGCAGCAGGACCTGCCCTCCACCCACACCCGCCCTCTGGCACTCAAGTCCGCCTACCTCGGCCTGCTGATGCCTACTCTCACCCCACAGGGGCAGCGAGCTCACACTTTCCCAGTCTTATCACTCTGGACAGACTGGGAACATAAGCTGAAACTGGGAGAGAAGTGGCCGCGGGTGGCACTTGCCGCCCATCCAACCCTGGGTGGCATGGCCCCCAGAAGAGGGCGCCTTCTCGGGAGGCAGCTGGCCCACAGTTCACCTCCAGTGGCCTTTTTGCCGAGCACGCTTAAGCTACTGCCACAGATGGAGTGACGCAGAGGGCATGGCCCGCCTGTCCCCGAGCAAGGCCACCGCAGGACCCAGACAGAGCCCTAACCTCAAGGTCTTCAAGAGTGCTCTGCTGCAGCCACCTCCTGGAGGCCCAAGGTCTACCTGGCACCCCGGGGGTCTCTGGATCAGCCGTGGGGGTGGGGTTGGGGGGGGTGCTGGGGTAGCACTCCCACCTCCGGGTGCAAAAGAGCCTGAATTCCACTCTCCCTCCTCACAGAGGAGGCCCTGAGGACAGGGCAGGAAGGTGAAACCCAGGGCCGCCTCCCTGCCCCTCAGCCCATTCCTAGGACGATCTCGGCCAGCTGCCCACTACGCATACCCCACCCCCTCCAGCCTCGGTGGCGGTGGCATGGTTCCAGCAGCAAGATTAGCAGGATTAGGGCTGGGATGGGCAAGGCTGGTAGACAGGGAACAGAACAGGGCTTCAGACTCAGACATGGGGGGGGGGGTTCCAGATGCACACACTGTAGCCTGTGTTGCTCACGGTTTGAGGGAGGCCAGACCCACCTGACGTATTTGTGCGTGGGGGGTTTGGCGCAGTGCGTGGTGGCAATCCCAGACGACAGGTAGCGGTCTCTGCGCCGCTCAATACGCCGGACATTCACGAAGTCCCTGGTGTGTGTGGGGGGGGGCGGGGGGGGGGGAGGCCGGTTAGAACAGAGGTCCCAGGTGTTGGGAGGCTCAGCTGAGAGGGGAGGACCTGGGTGCTCACCTGGGGGACACAACGCCACCTGCAGCCCCCGAGGACACGTCGTAGGAGATGAGGGTGCTGTCCTCCACCCGCTGCAGGATCTAAAGGCCAACCAGGTAGATCTGAGGTACAGCGGAAGCCCCGACATGGCCCCGGCACCTCAGGAACTCCAGACCAGCCTACAGGCCCTACAGGCCCGGAGCTGGGTGTAAGATAAGCACACTGAGCCTTCCTGCCTCTTGGCCTTCTCCAAAGGAACCATAGCAGCACCCACTTTATAGAGAGAAGCTAGGTCCCCTGGTGGAAAAATGGCTATGAGAAGGTGTGACCGTGCCCGGATCCATGGCATCAGAGGTGGCTCACCTGGCAGGCGGTCACTGTCTTGTTCCACAGCACCATCCTCTCGGGCTGCAGGATCACTTCCTGGTACACCAGCTCAGCAGGGCAGGGCAGAAAGGTCTGCAGGAGGGGGTCAGGGCTGGGTGGTGCCAGAGAAACGACCCCCTCTAGTTGGGAGACTTGGCGGCAGCACCCCGGATGGAGCAGGTGTCTCTGGGACTCCCTTCCCTACTCACCTTCAAGATGAAGGTCTTGCCGTGGAAGGGAACCTCAATGGTGTACACAGTGTCCCCATACTCCTGTGGCAAGGGCAGAGAGTGACGGGGAGGAGGGTGGAGGGCACCGGTGGGGAGGGGGGGACTTGTGGCCCAGGAACGGCTGGCAGGCCAGGTAGGTTTCCAACAGCCTGAGGTGGAAACTCCGGGAACCTGGGGACATCTGGGGCAGAC